ATGAGTAAGAAGAAAATACAGATAAGCACAAACACCGCAGAAATGTAAAAACAGCCCTGGTCCCTAACGGTAAGAAAATTGAAAAGCGTTCTGGTCACTAAGGGATTAAAGTTCTTTGTTAGCTATTTGAATTAAACTGTGGCAATTATTAAAGGGACACTATAATCACCAGAACAACTATAGCTTATAGTATTTGCTCTGGTGAGTATAATCATTCCAATCAGGCCTTTTGCAGTAAACATTGAATTTTCAGAGAAAATGCAGTGTTTACATTACAGCCTATTGATAACTCCACTGGCCACTCCTCAGATAGCTGCTAGAGGTGCTTCACTGCCATTGAGTGTCCTCACCCTCTGCATGCAGACACTGAACCTTCCTCAAAAGAGATGCATTGACTCAATTCATCTCTGTGAGGAGATGCTGATTGGCTAGGGCTTTGTTTGACTTGTGCTGGCTCTGCCCCAATCTGCCTCCTTGACAGTCTCAGCCAATCCTATGGGGATGCATGGTGATTGACACAGACACCACTTCTGATGATGTCAGCAGACAGCAGGCATTTCAGAGGCAGAGCCAGCAGCTGCAACTTGAGTACATGAAAGATTTTACTATATTTAGGGAGGCAAGGGGGGCTAGATTGTGGTTTTAACACTAGAGTGTTTCTTAATCTATATTCAGTGAAGTTTCCCCAAACATAGATTCACAGGATTCCATGCCCTAGTGAATTGGTCTATGTTCAGGGGAATTCACCCGAATGTAGACCTGCTTTTATCCACATGCTTGCTAAATTTTTTCCTTTATAATTTGTATGAATAAACTAAGGACATGAGTGAAAAACGGCATGTAATACTATGTTTTTCGAGAGTATATTTATACATTTGTATTGGTATATTTCGATGACATACTCATTTGCTCTCTTGATCTCCCTACTTACCATGGGTGTATTAAACAAGTATTGCAAACGCTACTCAAGAATGGGTTGTATTACAAACTTGAAAAATGCTTGTTTGATCAGACAGAGGTGCAGTTCTTAGGGTATATTACCTCTGCTTCTGGCTTTCAAATGGATCAACTTAAATTACAGGCTGTTCTGCTTTGGCCTTTACCCTATGGTTTGAAAGCTTTTCAACAGTTCATTGGGTTTGCTAATTACTATCGTAGATTCATAAAGGGATTCTCTAATGTGAATTACTAACCTGACTCATAGGGGGGGTTATCTGTCGTATTTAATCTCAAGAAGCCAAAGAAGCTTTTGGTCATCTAAAATCTTTATTTGCTTCTGCTCCTATACTTGTATATCCTGACATCAGCAAATCCTTTATATTAGAGGTCGATACCTCTGAAACCATGGTAGAGGTTGTCGTTTCCCAGAGAAAGAATCAGGATACCCATTTACATCCTTGTGGGTTTTTCCTCTAAAAAGTTGTCGCCAGTAGAACGTAACTACGATATTGCTAACAGAAAACTGCTAGCCATTATCTTAGCCTTGAAAGAATGGAGACATCTTTTGGAAGGTTCTAAGGATCTATTTATGATTATCAAGGATCACAAAAACTTGGCGTACAATGGAGATGCTAAGAGACTGTCTTCTAGACAAGTTTGATGGTTTCTATTTTTGTCACGTTTTAATTTTAGCATCACCTACAGACCAGGTCCAAGAAACAAAGTTAGATGCCCTATGAAGGCAATATGATACTGAGGAGGAACAGGAGCAAGTAATCACCCCTATCATACCTCCTGAATGCATTATTGCTTCTACGGTTCTTTCCCTGCCTTCCCCTCTCTTTCGTGCCATGATAGCAGCTCAGGCACCTAGTGTCAAACCTCATGATAGGTTGTTTATTCCTGTTTTGGAAAGAAAAGCGATACTTTTTCACGATAATGTGACAGCAGGACAACGTGGTATTAACAAAACTTTGTCTGTGTCGGGATTACTGTTTGATCCAGCACGTAGAACTGTACAGCACGGATGACAAATAAGTAACGTATTACCGGTCCTTAGAATGGCCGGATTTAACATACAAAGAATAGTCAAAAATACTAGCCAAGGTCAGGGAACACAGAAAGGGACACAGCGATGAGGAAAGCCAGGAGTCAGGATACCAGAATATAGAGAAGTCAATAAACAAAGCCAAAGTCAAAAAACAGGTAGAAAACTATAAACAGGAACGCGCTCTCGGACAACCACAAGGGAAACCACGACAGGGCACTGAGCAGGCTGAGAACTGGGCCTAAATACCCCTCCTTTAGTTCTGATAGGCTGTAACCGGCCTTTGACCCCAAAGTCAGTTACCAGGTTTCATTTGCATAATTGCTGCTCAGCATTAACCCTTCTGTGGATTAGGTTGCTGCTCGGCACAACTTTTCCTGTGTGGACAGTAAATGTCATTAACCACATTTCTATAAGCGGATGAATACGTGACAGTCTGCCATCAAGGGGAGGTTTTGGCCTGATCTTAGAAAGGATATTAGGGAATACGTGGGAGCATGCACTATATGTGTGGTTTCTAAAGTACTTCATAAACAGCAATGTGGGTTATTACAACCGCTTCCCATACCCAGTATTCCTTGGTCTCATTTAGCGATGGACTATATTGTTGAGCTCCCTATACTTGACGGCTCTAACACAAGTTTTTCCAAAATGGCTCATTTCATTCCGCTCAAGAAAATACCTTTCTCCCAAGAACTTGTTCGGATATTCGTAAAAGAAATGTTCATATTACATGGTATCCCACAACATATTGTTTCTGACAAGATTGAACAATTTGGGTCTAGATTTTGGAGAGTGTTGGGTAAACAGTTTGGTATAGAATTGGCAGCAAAAATGGCTAATCACTCCTTGGAAATGTATTTGAGGTGTTTTATCGATAGCACTCAAGAGAACTGGTGAGCTCTACTGAAATTACTAGGAATAACCCATGATTCCCCTGGTCTTAGTCCTTTCTTTGTCAATAATGGTCATCATCCCAGTTCCCTACTTACTGAATTCTCTGGTACTGCTATTCCAGCCTTGGATGATCATCTGGCTTGTATATGGAATACTTGGACTCAGGCCAATGCAGAGTTAGAAACAGCGGTTGAAAGTTTCAGGCTGATAGGCAGCGTGATGCTACCCGTGTGTACCAAATAGGTGACACAGTCTGGCTTTCCATGCGTCATATCAAGCTAAAAGTTCCTCCAATGAAGTTTGCCCCTAATTTTATTGGTCCTTTTTGTATAGGAATGAAAGCTGGCTGCTGCGGTCCCACAAAGTCTTACAGTCCCGCCTCTGTCCGCAACAAAGATGGCACCAACGTGCTTGCAACGTCACGTAATCGAAGCGCACACATGTTTTAGGGTCAGAGGCCAAATATAGCCAATTACTACCTTAGGAGGGTTATTTAAACTCAAATTAGCATAGGTCAGTGCCCTGTCATTTCCAATTTTGGTAAACTGTTGCGGTTCTTGATTATTTCTGAGATTTTGACTTTGGCTTGTATTTTGACCTTTCCTGCTTCTGATATTCCTGACCTTTAGCTAGTTTTCTCATTCTGTCTCTTTCTGTGTCCCTGACCTCGGCTTGTATTTTGACCATTCTCTTTTATGTTAAGTCTGGCCATACAAAGGCTTGTTTTTGTTTATTTTTCTGTGTTCTTATATGTTTCCTTGTTCAGGTTTGGGTCATATAATACTCATGACACAAATTCCAGCAAACTTCAATGAACTGAAGCAATATTGTAAAGAAGAGTGGACCAGAATTTCTCCATATTGATGTGAGAGACTGACTAGATCATACAGAAAATGTTTACTTCAAATTATTGCTGCAAATTGTGGTTCTACAAGCTATTGAATCACAAGGTGTACTTAATTTTTCATACACTGCGTCTCCATTTTGGCTCCATTTTTTTTAAATAAATCATGACATAATACGTCATGTATTGTTCATCTGACATTGTATTTACATACAGATAAAGATCTGTTGTTATTATGCCCTGACATGTAAAACCATAGAATGCAAAGAGGGTGTACTTTATTTTTCACACGAGAGAAAAAAATATATATATATTTTCTCATCCCTCCTTGGTGGTATCTATTTATTCCTCATTCTCAAGTCCTCTACCAGAGGCCTGGGAATCTGAAGATTCTGCTAAGTATCTTTGCTGTTCCTAAAACTATACTCTTATGGACAGGGATCTCAGATGTTCCACCTGGAATATGTTGAAGCCACTCCCCCAACTTGGGAGTCACAGCCCAAAGTGCTGCTATCACAACTGGGTCTACTACTGCCTTGACTTTCCACATCCTTTCTAGCTCCTCTTTCCGTCCTTGATATTTGTCCATCTTAATGATGTTATAGTCACTGGGTATTCCTACATCCACCACGACTGCAGTCTTACATTCCATGTTTACCACTACGATGTCAGGTGGGTTGGCCAGTACTTGTTTGTCTGTCTGGAACTGGAAGTCACACAGGATCTTACCTCTGTCATTCTCAACTACCCTTTGTGGTATCTCCTTGGGCACCTGGGCAGGTCTAGCCCATATTCTGAGCAGATGTTTTGGTACACAATCTCAGCAACTTGGTTGGGTCTCTCTGTGCATGCTGTTCCTGATAACATCTTGCATCCGGCACAGTCTGCACCTTGGATCTTGCCTGGTGTGGTATACTCCTGCTTCTATTGATCTGGTGCGGAGTGCCTGTTCCTGTGCTGCTAGGATTAGTGCTGTCTTTCAGTCTTGCTTTTTCCAACCACTGGTAGGACTTTGTCATGTAAACCATATCCATTGTCTGCCGGTGATACACCCTGTTGAGATGATCGTCTTGCCATGGAACCTCATCTTTTACTGCATCCTCTCTCCTTTGTTGCCTCAGGTATTCCCTTAGCAGTTCATCTTTAGGAACCATGTTTGTGGTGTACTTGTGAATGTTCTGTGTTTTATCCAGGACTGTGGCCCAGACCACCTTTTTTTCCAGCTGGTGTACAGTCTCTGGGTGCTGGATTTCAGTTGGAATCCTCCATTCATAGTGTGTGTGTGTGTGTGTGTGTATACATATATATGTATATATACACATATACATACACACACACACACACACACACACACACACACACACACAGTATCTCACAAAAGTGAGTACACCCCTCACATTTTTGTAAATTTTTTATTATATCTTTTCATGTGACAGCACTGAAGAAACTATTCAATTTTTTAACCCCTTAATGACCGCGGACGTGTCAGGTACGTCCAACAAAAAACGTCCGTTAACGACCTCAGACGTACCTGGTACCCCGGAGCGAACACTTCCAGGTTTGCCACACGTGATACCTGGCAGTGTGGGAAGAGAATCTGAAGCCATCCGTTGCCTCCAGATTCTCTTTCCGTTACTGAGTGCCTCGAGGGGCACTCAGTAACAGTTGTAAAAAGAAGATTATTTAAAAAAAATAAATAAATGAAAATTTTTAAAAATTAACCCCTACATTCCCTCGTCCCCCCACCCCTTCCCCACGTACTTACCGATCGCCGCGTTCCCTCACCGGCGATCTGTCTTCTTCTTTGGCGGCACTCTCTGGACTGAGCCAAGAGAGGTCCCCCCTCTCCAATTTAGGACCCCCAGGGTCCATGTGATCACTCTAAAAGAGCCCCCATAGGTGTCCACAGTGTTGCCAGCAGGGGGACTGCCTGAATTGACAGGCAATCCCCCTGCTGGTGGAAAAGTAAAAATAAAGTTAGTAAAAGTTAAAATAAATAAAAGTTAAAAAAAGTGTGTGTGTGTGTGTGTGTATGTATATATATATATATATATTTATATATATATATCTTATATATAACGTTATATATATATATACACTTATAACGTTGTATTAATATAAAAATACACAATTGTGTGCAATTACACACGTGTACATATATAATTTTATATATTATGTATATATATTATGACAAATAAATAATAATACAAATAAACTGTAAAAATATATTTTTTTTAAATTATGTATATAAATGTCATTTTATTCTCACTGTATTTTGAGATATATATATCTCAAAATACACTTAGAATTAAATTATTTATTTATATAGTTAATACAAAAAACCACTCATGTTTTGCATCTTTTCCTAAATTGTGTTCCAAGCAGTTGTATACTGCAAACACAGATTAAAAGGAATCCATGTTTAAAATGGAATGAGGCAAAAATGTGATTCTTTGTTAAACTAATTTGCATATGCCCACCCAGAATCCTTTGCGGTTGTAACATCACTACAGATTTAGGATTTCTGTGGGAAAAGCAAGTCTTATGGCTTGGCTTGTGTGCAGATGTTTGTTTAACATTGTATTAACTATCCACAGACTTCAGGTGGAAGGGGTTTTCAATCACAATTTTTCCCCACCATAGCATATATATATATATATATATATATATGTGTATGTATGTATATATATATATATATATATATATATATATGTATGTGTGTGTGTGTGTGTGTGTGTATAATTTCCCCTTTACGACTGAGGACAAACTAGGTATGTCCAAAATAAAAACTGCAGTTAAGGACGCCCGCGACAGGATGCCCAGGATAGGAGCCCTGGGCCGACGATCTGCGTCGATCACGGTCGGGGAGGACTGCCAGAGACCCTAGCAGTCCCCCTACAGCAGCTCCGGCCATCCCGGCCCTCCATGGCCATGTGATCACCATGATCACATCACCGCAATAGGACTCTAGGAGCTACCAGTAGGGGGACTGTCTGAGCTGTCAGACAGTCCCCCAGGCTGCTAAAAAAATTATAAAATAAAAATATTATACATATACAGGTGGTCCTCATTTAGCGACCTACCTGTTTTACCACGGCTCGCATTTACGACCAGGCATTAGTGCAAGCTGTCATGGGGATTCCCTGCTCTGGTGTGTATGTATATGTTTTGGAGAACTTCCCCGAACATAGACTAACACACCAGAGCAGGGAATCCCTCAAATCTATGTTCAGGGAAATGATATGTTGCCAAAGGTTTTTAAAGAACATCCGCTGATATGTTACAGAAGGAACAAGAGCCTGAGGGACATGTTGGTGCACACGGATTCAGTTGCAAGCTATTCGAAGGATGTTAAACAAAATATACGGGGGTGCATTCGGTGCCTAGGGTGTGTGACTTGTGGACACATGATACCGGCTAAGAAATTTAGTCACCCACATACCAATAAAGTGTACGACACACTATTACTTGTAAAACAATGTTTGTTGTATACAAGTTGATGTGTCCTTGGTGACTGTACTACGTGGGGAAGACGGAGACACAACTTTGTGAACGAATTAGGGGTCACCGTTCGAGTATTAGGTTAGCGTATGGGGATGGGCATTCAGATAAGCCAGTAGCCCAACACTTTTTGGATAAGAAGCACCCATTGGCAAGCCTTAAATTCGTAGGTATAGATCACATTCCCTCGTAGGGGTGGCAATAGAGGTAAAATGTTGCTCAAAAAGGAAGCTTTTTGGATACACCAATTAAATACAGTATCTCCTATTGGACTGAATGAAAATATTCCGTACAATGCCTTTATTTAAAAGTACAGCTTGTTACTAATTTTTTTTGTTTGTTTTATTTTTTTCAAATTGACAATTTTTATTTTCAGAAATCAAATGGGGTACAGAAAGAAAAAAGGGGTTGGAGGGATCACATTTTCACATAACTTGCAATTTTGTCTTATTAATTAGTGGGTTATGTCTCGTGCGGTGTTGCTTCGGTATCCAAACGGTAGGGATTAGGAGGATGATGTTAGGAACCTTTCAGGTCGCTCTGTTCGTAGACTATTGTATTGATTACAAATATCATCGTGAGGTTCTACGTATCCCCCCCAAAGCTCCCGTTCTGCCTCCTGCGCTGGTTAATCGCTAACCCCTCTTTTTCATGTGGGTTATGTTGCAAATTCCGATATTGAGATCCTTCAACTGGGAGATAACAAGGGAAAAGGTGTAGGGAAAAAGGAGGGGAGAGGTGCATATCGTATTATGATGTGGCGCTCGGCTTCCTGTTGTAATGGTGAGTATTAATGATTGTGTAGTAGCGGTACGGCTTTCCGGGGTCTATGCCTTCACCGCGATTGTATCCGCCTTGGAGTCTCATCAGTCCATTGCGGGACCAGTGCGGGGGGTGTGGTTTCTAGAGCTCGTCGGGTTTGTCGTAAGAGTTCGGTCAGTGTGGGGTGGGGTGTCTGTACCAGGAACTGTTCCGTCTCTTAGGTCTACCCAGGGTGCCCAGTCGGTTTGGAAGTTTTTCCTTTGAGCGACAGTCTTGGCAGACAAGCTTTCATATGTGTAGTATTGGTGGATTTTGTCTAGCAGTTGGGTTTGGGAGGGACAGTGGGGTTGTTTCCACTGAGTTGCTATCAGATTTCTCGCTGCTAGGATAACAATGGCCATTACCTTTCGTACAGATTTTGGGGTGGAGTGTGGGTGATAGGAATATCCCCGTGTGTATATCGATGGGCGGTGATGTAATACCCATAGATAGCAAAACAGTTTGTGCTTCCCTCCATAGGGGTCTTATACGTGGACACGTCCACCATATGTGAAGCATTGTACCCTTAGCAACCCCGCATCTCAAGCAATGTGGGGATACATTGTTGTACATCGAGTGGAGTCGCTGGGGTGTTAGGTACCATCTATATACCAGCTTTTTGTGGGCTTCTATGTGAGAGTAGCACTGCGTGAGGCCTGAAAGGGCTCGGGGGGATGCCAGTATCTCAGTGTCAGATATCGAACCTACGCCCTCCTCTAGCCATTGGGTTACATAGTTAGGGATAGCCATGGGTGTAGCCCTGAGGATTAGCTGGTAGCATAGGGAGAGTGATTTAGGTTTGGTCGGAGTTTTCCAGCACCTGTCGTATAATGATGTTATGTCCTTTAAGTCTGGGTCAATGCATGGTGGACTCTGTGTAACATGTGTGGGAAGTACACTTTTAAGTTGCAGGTATGGAAACACTGAGGAATTAGTGAGTTTGAATTCCTCTTGTAGGTCTGGGAAGGGTTTAATGAGACCTCCTTGCAGGACTTGTTCTATGTGGGTAATTCCCAGTTTGACCCATGAGTGTAGCGAGAGCCAAGGTGATATTGCTTTTAGTGCTGTTAATGGCGTGCGAGGGTGAAATTTGTGAGTATCGTAATGTTTTTGACGCAGCTTGTCCCAGTGATATATGGTTAGTTTAGTGGTCGGTAAGAGGGATTTGTCCTTGGGCCGATATGTCGCGGGGGTCCACAAGAGATCGACCAAGGGTGTCTTGCCAGCGTGGGCGACTTCCATGTCCACCCATTGGTACACTCCTTTATGGGTATGCAGTTTCACTGCTGCCTCTAGAATAGCTGCTTCGTAGTAGGCGTGTACATCTGGCAAAACAACTCCCCCTCTCGCTGTACTTTGTTGTAGGGTTCGGTGTGACAGTCTGGGTCTGTGAAAGTCCCACACGTATTGGGATAGTGTCCGTTGGAGTGTTTTAAAAAAGGAGGGTGGGACTTTTATGTGTAGTAGGCGGAATATGTACAGTATCTTCAGGATTAGAACCATTTTGATGGTGTTGATTCTACCTAGCCAGGATAGTTTCACCAGTTTCCATCTGTTACATTCCGATTTGCACATTGTGAGAAGTGGTTTATAATTATAGTGAAATATGTGTTCCACTGTGGGCGCTATTTTAACCCCCAAGTATGTGATGTGGTCCGTTCTCCAGTCAAATCTATATGTCCTAGAAAGCTCTATGGTCGTGGCTCGCGGTAGGCCTACTGGCAGGGCTTGGGTTTTGGCTTGATTTAATTTATAGTACGACAATTTACCATATGTATCTAAAAGTCATAATAGAGTGGGTAGAGATGTTGTTGCGTCGCGTAACGTCAGTAAGATGTCGTCTGCGAACATAGATAGTTTGTATTCACCTGGGCCTATTGACATGCCTTTGATATTAGGGTGGTGTCTAATGATGTATGCCAGCGGTTCTAAGCAGAGGACAAACAGTAGTGGTGAGAGGGGGCAGCCCTGCCTGGTGCCGTTGGAAATTGTAAATGGGGTAGATAAGAAACCCGCATTGCTCACTTGTGCTGAGGGGGCGTTATATAATGCGATGATTC